TTGTTGGTCATCGGTTGGACGTGTCGGTGGAAGGCAATATGTTTCGATAGGATATGGATGCGAAATGGTATAACGTATCTCAATTACTGCTGCCTCGTTAATACTATTTCAAATCCGTTTCAGTTTTGACTGAATCACTTCAGTTTTCACTTCGAGATCACTTTCTTGTAGCGATAACCGCAATTGTCATTGGTGATGTATGTGATTGCGGTGTAGATGCTGAATGTTTCATAATTGAGGTTGGTATAATCAGTCACGAAATTCTTCATTCACTTGGAATCTGGCATGAGCAATCTCGTTCAGATCGTGATGAATATATCAATGTCAACTACGACAACCTGTTTCCTGTATGTTCTCCCTCAGTTTGCATTTAATTTGCACACAGCTTTATGACAAGCGATCGAATTCCAAAGCGATCAGACGCTCAGCGTTAATTACAAATAGAGTTTGTTTTAATTGCTCTCGCAAGGGCATTAAACTGTTTAACGTTAAACGTCGTGCATCTCAATTTTTGCTCGCATTTATCGATAACGGAATGATACTTGCAATGATATGAACTATGTGGTGGATCATGCAAAATTTACACATTCTGAAAGTCATTTGTGAAACATTCAAAAGGTCGTGTTGAATATTTGGAGTAACTCGCGGAATTTAAAGCAGTCATTAACGCAAGATCACTGATTTACTCAAAGGGACGATGATTACAGGGAATGGAAGGGAATTTCGAAAAGCGAACCGAGGTGGTGACAAGTAACTTGGAACAGCCCTATGATCTGGGCTCTGTGATGCATTACAGCTCCACGGCATTTGCAAGGGATCAATCAACGTAACATGTTGAAAATTTTGAAATTGTAATTTGTGACTCGACTGATGCAGAATAATGCGTTCATGCTAGCTCGGACGATGTTTCCTGATATGAATTCACATCGTCATCGCGACATGAAAGTATCAATAGCAATCGAAATAAAATAGGTTGTATTTTATAGGGCCACAATAACAACTCGAGACGGTAATTATCAGCATACGATCGGTCAACGCAAAACTTTATCGTTCAAGGATGCTAAAATAATCAATTTACAGTACTGCATGGGTCAGTAATCCCCATTCTTCAATCACCACATCATTTCAAATTTTTTTCCGATACGAAATCACCAAAGCTTTTACCTGTGCAGGCAGCAAATGTATTGTACTTTCAGGAGTGTGCACTCGTCAACTTCCATGTCAAAATTCTGGATATACAGATCCGAGAGAGTGTTCCGAGTGCAGGTGTCCCGAAGGATACGGGGGAACCTTTTGTGAAAAGGTGGCAGAAAGCAGTTAGTTGACTTAGTCAAGCATAACTTTCTAATAAGTTCGGCACGGTGACGTTGTCCCCATGAGTTGTGGAGAGGAAAAATCTCTCGTTGTCCTTGTGAATCATCTCCTCGCTTGGACTAAGCAATACGAAATGAACTGATGTAAACCAAAAACTACTCAATTTGCAGCTATTCCGGATTGCGGTGGTGAACTGAATGCGACATCCACTTATCAAACACTGCAAATGGAGGGTGATTTTCAAGCACCGAGTGGTTCAAGTTGTGCATGGAGAATTACGGTATCACTTGAAGGATATCGTTCATTTTATCGCACT